ATATATATATATATATATATATAATAAGCATATCCGATACATGGTGACTCGTACACTTACATGTCGCTTAGGGAGGCAAACGCTGAAGAAGGCAGCAAGACTAATGCAGAGACATTCAGCCAGAAGGGTAGCAACAACAGCCTTAGGTGCACGTACACTGAGGTGCACGCACACCTGAACAAGTCAACGGTCTGTGCCTTGCTGCAGTAGGCAGAACGGAGGCACTTTATATCTAGCGGGAAAGGCCCCTCTCCTGGGGTGCACATACACCTGATTGTCACTGCATTATCATTGTGTTCTGTTTATCCTCCTTAGGAATACCGAGTATCAAGAATTTGCAACGGAGTACCTTAGCTCCATGGAGGCACAGTTACAAGCAAGGGGTGTGCCATCTTTCAAGGGAGACACGAAAATGGAGACAGATATTTCTGTCTCCTTGTCTCCGTCTCTCTTTCTGTCTCTGTCTCTTAGTCCCTCCCTCTCTTTTGTCTCTCTCTCTCTGTCTCTCTGTCCCTCTTTTCTCTTCTGTCTTTTGTCTTCTCTGTATTCTCTTTCTTCTCTTTTGTTTCTTACTTCTTTCGCTTAGCCCCAGAAATTGTGAATATTGGATATGTGTTATTCATTGCTTCCCTAGCACATGCGTGCATTTGCCTCTGTCTTCTGCAGGGGAGGGAAGTCTCCCTAGCAAGCCAACGGCGATGTCTTTGGATTGGAGCGAGACAGGCAGCAGCCAGACACAAGGTGGAGGAAGTCCTCTACAAGAAGTGCAATCTTCTGCTTCAACTCTTACATTCGCAGCGGATATGGAAGCAGATAGTCACGTAGAGAGCGATAGTGACGACACAACTCTTAGCGAGGCACCACCTCTTATTCAAAGACGATCTACCCTCTGTCTAGGCAAACCTGCAAAGAACCAACAGCCTCTTAGAGATTGGCTTACTCCTGGTTATGATGTATACGTCATTACACTGCAGGAGGTCACTAGTAAGGGGTCACACACCCGAAGATCATCAACAAAAGGCAATTTCCTTAGCTTTTCCTTCCATTTCTTGCTGCCGTTGCATACAGGGTGTTCGTCTTCTCCGTGTCCTTCAGCGTGCAGACAGACAGACAGAAGCGAGAAAGAACAACGGGCGTTTTTATTGACTTGAGCAGGGGAGGATTCAACAACCGTGCCTTCTTATTCGTGTGCGGTCTCTGTCTGTACACCTCACACAGATGATAACATCTTCTGCGCCATTGGGCTGTATCTCGAGGTAGAACATGGAGAACGTTTCCATCGAGTTAAAATGGGAGACGGAAAAATATCAGGGTTAGGGAAGGGGGCATGGACAAAGATGAAGGCAACTTGTGAGTGACTACTGAGGGGTTGCTAAAAACCCTTAAACCTCGAGGACTCAGGATATAGAAGAAAACCATTAACCCTTAAACAGAGCCACCAAACAACCCTCTACTGTTCGTGGGGTTGAACTTTAGTTGCAGGATGCTCTTGCCACTCTCCCTCTTGTGAATAGATTAATACGACATAAATATCTAATAGGGAATGGGGGGGCTTGGGGGAGCTCTATTATTTGTTGTCTTGTGCTGTCTTTGTTTTCTCCGTGCTGCTGGTGCCGCTTCCTGGTTGTGTTTCTGTGGTATTATCGTCGCTCCCTTTACGCTTGGGTGTCTAACCCTTTAGGGTTTAGTGTTTAGGGTTTAGCGCGTTTATAGTTTGCTGTTGCCAGAGCGGGGATGCGAGTCTGTTATGCACCAAACTCTCATTCAGTGCAGCTGTTTCTTTGCTTGTTTTGTTGCGTTTGCATATATAATTGCTTCTTCCATTCATCTTGTTTTATTTTCTTTTGGGGGTTTTGTTGGTTTGAAATCAGCAAGGGGAGTATCGGGGTGGCTCGAATGGGGTGTCAGTACACCTGACTGAACTCACTCAGGACGATCTGTTGCTGCTGCTTCTGTGCTGTTTGTTTACTACACAGCCATGGCCTGTTGGATAAGGGAATCTGTGCGCTCTCCTCGGGGGCCTGTGACCCCCTTGGCGTACAGAGCATTCTCGTTCAGTGAGTTCTAAACACATTTGCTGCTGCTGTGTAGCATCAGCAGCAGCAGCGGCAGGACCAGCAGAAGCAGGAGGAGGAGCAGCAACAGCCGTCGTTGTATCTTCTGTAGGAGGAGCAGGACCACTCTATAGGCTGCGCCCTTATTTTTTTGCATATATGCATGCATATTTATATTCATACATGCATGGCTGCTCGTTTTGGGGTTGGATGGGTGGGAGGCAGCTGTCAAGGGTTTTTTGCGCTGCAGCAAGGATTAATGGCAGCAAAGGTGCCTTAACTTTGGTGTTAAAGATATACGACCAAGTTGTTTGCTTCGTCGGGTGTCATATGCCTGCCTCGGGAGTCAAAGTTAGTTAATTATTATGCTTATACGGAGACAACTGTCTCTTCCTGCCTACTTTTGTCTCCTTTTGTGTTTCCTCCCCTGTAGCCCCATCCCCTTGTCTTCTGCCAAGAACCAGTTGTCGTGTCTCTGCACATGATTATCTGGCCTGTGTGCTACTGCTGCTGCTCCTCCTCCTGTTGCTGCTGCTGCTTCTGGTCTTGCTTCCCCTGTTGCTACTGGCAGTGCAAGGCAACAACAACTCCACCTCATTCGCGTCCTGTTTTGTGGTTGTTTCTCTTTCTTCCCCTTCCTGTTATTTACCTACATGTATCAAATAGTTACAAACACACGTAGATGCACACACATTCCAGCAAACGTATGTGCATGCATGCAAATGTGAGTATTTGCGTATGTGTCTATTTTAATGACTCTTTCAGGGCCGCTTCCGAGCTCGGCAGCACATTCGGCAGAAGCTTGCTCAGGTGTATTCAAATTCTTCGGAAGTAGATTTTACTCGTGTCTTCCATCACGTCATTTGGGCAGGAGATTTCAATTTTAGACTCCAAGCAGCTCCTGAGGTCTACAGTGAGCTCTTGCATGCACACGCATGCCAGGCAGCCCCATCCTTCAGATTTAGCAGCTGCTTCTGCCTGCTGCATAGCCCGTGCATGCATGCTCGGAAATGCATGTACACTGTGCGCGCATGCATGCATGCTTACATGCTTGGACGGACAGAGTGCAGGGCTTCCGTGTACTCCCTGGCAAAGGGAGACACCAGCATATAAAGCAGTGCAAGAGGGATATTTGCTGCAGCCGCAGCAGTAACAACGCAGGAGGAGACACCGGGGAGACTCAGCACCAAGAACAGCTAAACATTGCTTTGACGGCATGGCATAGTGGGGTAGCCTTCGTGTCCTTGGGACGAGTTAGCTGCTGCTACTGATGCTGCCGCTGGTCCTGATGCTGCTGTTGCTGCGTTTGTTGTTGCTGCTGCAGTGCCGCTGCTGGAGAAGCAGGACATGGAGAGCCTGCTGCAGTACGACGAGTGCAGAGAAGACTTCGGGCAAGACATGGCTCTACATGTACACCGCAACACTACCTCATATGCGTGAATACGTGCATGCATGCATACATCCTTGCTTGCAAGCATGCATATTTATTGCTGGATAATCCGGATTCTCCTCTCATCTACAGCTCCCTTTCCGTCTTGTTTGTTCCCTTCTGCTCCTGCATCTGTGCACTCATGCATGGAAGGGTACGCCCCGTTGCATGTATGTTGTGTGCAGCAAATGCGGGAAGCTCCTGTAAGGTTTTTGCCCACCTACAAAAAGGCAGATGGCCGTCCGCCTCTAAATACCGACGACCCTGATTGGATATTAAAGGAATATCAAACACAAATGAAAAAGGGAGTCTTAGGGCAAAGGAAAATGGTAGAAAGACCCCCTTCGGTGAGATGATACCTCTCTGTACACTTGAGCTGGCTATACACCTGAATGCGCCCGACTAAAACCCCTTAAGTGTTGTGGATGCCGTTCATACACAACGTTCTAAGTATATTGTGGCTGGCGGGCAGAAATAACGCCCAAACCAAAGCAAGGCCACAAATTACTTAGTGCATGCATGCTTGCACGAATGGTGCTTGGTTGTGCCGCTGCAGTGGTGCGACCGCGTCTTCTTCTGGTCTATGCCGGCAGTCATTGCAAACCTGCAAGCCATCCCAGGAGCCTATTTTGCAGCGGAGCCCAAAGAACCAAGTAAATCTTTAAGGGTGTAGGGTGTAGGGTTTAGCGTTTTGTCTCTGCAGTATGCATTGCACGGGTTAGGGGCATTTACAGGTTGTTTCCCGGTCTCTGGGGTTTAGCCTTTATAGGCACGAACAGACGGAGAACAAACTCCGCAGGGGCAGAGAGAGAAATGGCCTAGGGTTTAGGGTTTATGACACAGACAGAAACCTTAAACCCTAAGCCGTAGTACTTGGGGCTTAATACTATTGGCACATTCGCCTTTGCTGTTGTTTGCTGTATCCTGTATGCCTGTGTATTTAAAGGGTTTAGTATCTCCTCTTGTCCCTGCTTGTCTCTTCTGTGCCGGTCTGTTGTCTCTGCCTGTCTCTCCATAGGTGTATTAATGGCTAGTGACCACGCGCCTGTAGGCTGTGGCCTTGAACTCTTTGCCCTAAGAGAAACAGCGCCTCCCGTCTTCTTTGAGATCAACAACCCGGCAGAGACAGTTTCCGCGAAGAGACAGCTGGCAAGCTAACTTCCTAGCGAGCTGTCTTGGTAGCGAGCCGGCTCCGGCTAGCTGAGCCGGCACTAGCTAGCCAGCTATTGCTAGCTAGCTAGCTAGCCATCCAGGTAGGTAGCTAGCCAGCTAGCTAGTTCGTTGACCCTAGGCAACTAGTGTTCGCGGGCTAGCTAGGGAGGCACGTGGTCAGCTAGCTAGCAAGATAGCTACCTAGCTGGCCCTTGCATCAAAGCGCATAGTACCTGAGAACGAAAACTTTGCCGCCGTCGCAGCAGCAGCAGCAACAGGAGCAACAACAGCTACAGCAGCAAACGACACCTGCCTGCTGCAGCTGCACGGCGGCGTGCTGCAGTGTTTTGCATCCGTGTGCGACCCTGTTGGGTTCAAATAGACTTCATTAGTCAGTGTGCCGACCCTCCCTGCTGTTCCTACTGCGCCTGCTGCTCCTGCTGCTGTAGCCATTGCATGCGCTCGTTGCAGTGGGATGCTGCTGTAGACTGCTAGTGCAGATTGCCTCATGGTGGTCTGGAATTCGCCCTAGGTGGGCAGCTGCATAATTGGCGATCAAGCTGTTTGGGGGCCGCTAGTCAGCTACCGTGTAGGCTTGCCGCCTACGTAGATAACAGGCCAGCTAGCTAGCAAGCAAGCCATCCACGCATCTTGCTAGGTGACTAGATGTAGTGACCGGTTGGCTCCACTCGAAGAAGCGGTTGTTGCATGTACGTGCGACTGGAACAAAATAGGGTGCTAAGAAAGGACGACGTGTGCTATTCCCTGCCTCTTAAGAACGAATTTAAGCACAGTAAACTCGGAATGAAGGCGTAGGGAACAAGAGGCATCCTTTCGTTTAAGGTGTACGGGGTGTTGTGCTGCACACGACCACTGGCGAAGTGTGGAGGCTACTGAAGTTAGAAGGATGGGAATGTGATATCATCGTGGTTGGTGTGAGGGGTCAACTTTGAGTTGAGGTAGTGTCGTGTGAGAGATGCTTGTGGCGTGTTACCTTCGGCGAGTCAACACTCCAAAGAGAGGACGGGAGGCTTTTGGGTTGAAGCATTGAACTTGAGGCGTCTCTTGTTTTGCGCGTAGCGTCTCTTTTCGTTTTGGTTGACCTTGTGATCGAGGATACTTCATCTGCGGGACAGGGAAGTCTGTTGATTTCAAGGTTTGTTGGTGAGCAAGTTGGACGTCTGTTCCGGGGTATTGGTGGAATGCTTTTGGCGTTGCTGATGTCCCCTAGGGAGGCCGAGTTTGGATAACGAGCAAATTGTGGGTGTTGTATTGGTATGTTTTGCAGAAGCTTAGGAAATAAGTGAAGAGCGCTGCGAATGGTCTGTGGTGTGCTGGTGATTCTTCCTGGTGAAGGTTTGCTGCACATTAGAGGGTAATTTGGGCTCTAGGAGGGCACGGTTCGTTGCCTGGTGACACTACATAGGCAGTTGTAGCTGTGAGGCTTGCGTGATTTGGGTTCTCACGTTGACGGCTATGGACGGCCCATTTTAAAGTTCGCGGGTATACGTACGAGCCATGGTGTACCTTTGTAGCGGTGAGGGTGCTGTTTTAATAGTTTGGAGGATGTATTCTACCGATCTTACCATTTTCTATAGTACGTACAGCTCGAATGGTATGTACTGGCGGGATAATGTTGAGGGAGAGATTGATGATATGCTTCAAGCGTTGGCACATGCATATCTCGTTTTGACCTGCTATGTGTTGTCGTTGGGGGGAGACATGGGTACTAAGTGACCCTGGAGTTCCGTTTTTCCCTTGGGCATCACAGAGGGATAGAAACGGGAGCTTTGGGCTGCTTAGTCTGCTTACCAATAACTCGAACTGCTTAATGCCTCCAGCAAGGTGATGAGGGTTTATTGGTTAGAGGATGCACCGTCATTGCTTTTGTTGGACAGGGTTAATTCAAGCGGGGAGTGTGTATTGGAAAGACAACGATAGCAACCTGGTTGATCCTGCCAGTAGTCATATGCTTGTCTCAAAGATTAAGCCATGCATGTCTAAGTATAAACTTTTATACGGTGAAACTGCGAATGGCTCATTAAAATAGTTATAGTTTATTTGGTGGTCTTTTTTACATGGATAACCATGGTAATTCTATGGCTAATACACGCGCAAAAGCTACCTTCTCTGGAGGAGCTGTGTTTATTAGATACAAAACCAACCCACTTTGTGGAGTCTTGGTGATTCATAGTAACCGAACGGATCGCAGTTTGCCTTCGGGCTCGCGATGGATCATTCAAGTTTCTGACCTATCAGCTTTCGACGGTAGGGTATTGGCCTACCGTGACAGTGACGGGTAACGGGGAATTAGGGTTCGATTCCGGAGAGGGAGCCTGAGAAACGGCTACCACATCTAAGGAAGGCAGCAGGC